AATGACCAGACTTAAATGGAGAATGACCACAAATTCATTCTGGGTGTCGTGTTCCTGTGCAGGAATGGTTACGGCTCAAACTAAAAAAAAAAAAGGCAGTCCTCCACTTTGCCCGATGGCCTGTGACTTGTCCTCTGTCTGGCTTTTCATTGAAATCCCCTTTTGCTCACCAGAGATTTGGTGTCAGTAAAGACTACGTAGGCGCTGGCTTTGAACAGCCCCTCACACCTCTCTCGCTCCACCAAATGTCCCTGTAGCCCTCTCTATTACTAGCTTACTATCCGTTCCTCCTTTACCTTAATTCTGTCAACACCGATGGGTGCTATTGATGGGCTTGAAAGCATCGGTTTGTGTGGGTAATTACAGTTTTACACCACAAATGGGTCTAAATGGGTTTTCATGACACTCTATTGATCCTTGAGGGGTAAATTGGTCTTTTTGCCTGCTGCCTGCCTCCAGAGTACAGAGAGCTACAGAAGGGTGATGGAAGAATTGTAAGTCTCTTTTCCACAACAGGGTCAATTGCAATATATTTCAGTCAACACACAGTATTTCACATCACTGAGCACAATTTTCTTTTCTTATTTGAATCCATGTGGTGAATCATAAATGATGAAAAAGGAATGGGAGGGAATGTTGTTTAGCAAATATCTCCTGACCAGGCCACTCAGTGAACGTCACAGCATCGTTTCTAAGCACATTATGGAAATAACTCTTCATTATAATAGTCATAATTCTTGTATGCAGTCAAATTCTATAAAAATAATAATAATATTCTAAAAACTTTTACATAATGAATGCATTACTTTTCACCAATACTCCATGTTGACTCACTGAAAAATAATCCATCAGTGAGTCTGCACTGCCATCATGCCAAGATGTTTTTTTTGGTTTGTTTGGTTTTTTTTTTAATAACCTGTAAATTGCTGCCTGGTGTTAGTGAATCATTGCTGACTGTTTCCGCAGTTGCCACTGAGCCATTCAGAGCTGGGATTAAGAATGTGAAGATTCTCGTGCAGGGCCGGAAAGGCAAAAAAAAAAAAAAAGCAGCCCGAGAGTTTCATTGTCAAGTGGCCCCAGTTTGATTCATCAAATTTTAAACAGTCAAAACTAGTTAAACTATAAATAAAGTATTAATTAAGGGGAAAAAACACAATCTGACAATTTTGTACTGTGTTAGTTTAATCTGTAGAATGATGGATGTCATTTTCCAGGGGTTTCCTCCTAGTATCTGTGTTTGTAGAAAGCAAAAATGTAAAGTTGTTTTAATGTAATTATCACCTGACACCTAATCTGACTTAGCCTACACCATTTTATATACTGTACACATCCACCTCATTTGAATGAGGTCACATGAAACTTGGCTTCTCTTCATCGCTGCCTTCAGAGGCCTCGTCTCCCTCTCTGATCTCTCCCACAGCTGTGCTGGGGTTCAAATCCATCCTCTGTCTTTCACTGCTTCTGACCGTGCACATAAATTTTCAAGACCATTTTTAGATGCAGTCACTCAGTAAGTCAAAAATCACATATCTTTGCTCCAGTTGCTTTGAAATTATACTGTGCACTGGCACTGGCTGGTGGTCACACACCTGTCTCCATAGAGTTGAGCTAGTGCCAGGCAATGAAAAACGGTGCTTTTGTCAGTATGTTTATATGGTACTATCAGTATTTACCAGACATCATTTCACTTCTGGGCTGCCGATCAAATATTACAGCAAAAAAGAATCGATGAGGATTTTATAAGAAATATGCTGAGGCAGAAATTAGCAGCCCATTCACGTTATATCATAAGGGATATGGCAAAATTCCATGTTTATTTGATCCATTTACAGTCAAATAAGGTCAATTTTTGCACGTTCTTTGCAGAAATCTAGTGTTAACATAAACATTCTCACTTTAAACATGTCTGCTCTCACTACCCTGTAGCCACATATTTAAAAACTGTCAGCAACACAGCAGCTGCTTCCCGCTCACTCCTCTGATGCTCCCGCCTCTTCACTACTTTCATCACACGCAGCAGCTGTGTATAGGTCCATTAGCAACTTCTGTACACTTAGTGTCAGCCAGAAAATCCATTTTCATTCTCTGTCATTCCTTTTCTGCAACACCGGCTGCGCTTTCTCAGCCCTCGCTGCTGTTACAGCTTGCACCTGCAGTGTCGCTGTAATTAAGAAGGGCCTGTTTAATATCTGTATAGGCTGTATAATCTCTAAGACCTCATCCTATCATCCTAATAATGGACCAATCCAAGAAAGACAAAGCAATAAGAATGAACAAAATCAGTGGGAATGACGTGTTTTAAACTGTGAAATGTGTTGTAGACAAACACTATCAACAATAAAACTAGCACATCAAAATAGTTTTGCCTTTTCCCACCAAGTTTGACAACTTTTTCCATAATGTTGACCCACAGAAGCACATAGTGCTCATTAGTGCACAGCACAAACACCATGCTACTATGTAATAGTCATGAAAGACACTGGTTTGGGTTCAATGTGTTGGTTTATTTACAGCAAAAATGTGTGATTTGTACTGATCGTTAGCTAATAAGATCATTAGGACCTTCATGTCTGTAGTCACGAAGACTGAAGAGGGGAAACAGCTCATTTGGTTCTGTCCAAAATTTAAAAATATCTTCCTACCAGCACCTTTAAAGGTCATTAATTAACACATCATATCTCATATATTAATCTGACAAAAAGCAAAGTTTAATTAAATCAAGCTGTGGTTTTACAGGGGGGTTATGTGTCAGACTGAGTCCAGCCTTTAGGCTAAGCTAACTGTCTTCAGTAGACAGAAACTGAGCGCAGCTTCCTATTTACAGTAACAAATTGACGTAAGAGTGGAATCAATCTTAAAATCTAAATCTTGCTAAGAAAGAACATAATTGTGTTTCATCGATTCTCAAATAATTCTGTTAAAGCAGGATATTCCTTCAATCATCATGACAAATATTAGGCTAACTGCTCGTGGCAGCCTCTAGCGGAGGCAGGCTGAATACTCCCTGCTGACTGGTTAGGGCAAACTGAGGAACCACTTTCGAACACAACATAACTAACAAACGAAATGTTAGACTGAATAACAAAATGGTACTTCTCTCTGATTTATTCTGTCACTTCATACGGTGGCTTACAATTTATCAAACAGCATTTCTTTATCACATTGTATTGTTTGTCTGAAAATAATGCATTTTTATAAAAACATCACATTAAAGCAACCTGCTCTTTGATTACATCTCTACTTTATTGTTTGATTAACTGACGGTTTGATTAAAATCAGCTGCTGCTTGATTGGAGTAACCTGTCATTTTAATCAAAATGATGTTATGCTACACTAGTGGCTGGCTGCTGTTTGATGAAAATTACCTGCTGTTGGGTTGCAATTACCTGCCTGATTATTTGCCAAAAACATTCTTATCAAAATACCTCAGGGCATTTGAAAGATTAAAAAGTACTTGTAAGTTCCATTTTACAAGAAATGACACTGAAACATTTATGTCTGTTTGTGTCTTCTGCCTTTTTAACAAGTTACATTATCGACTTTGGCTTACATTGTCTATTGTTTTCTTATTATGGGAACAAACTTCCCCAGTTATGTAATTTGTAACTATCTTTATTCCAGGTTGGGCTAAATATGCTTGAGGCTCCATTTTTATTACCTCCTCCGAGGCAGAGGTAATGCTTTTGCCAGCATTTGTTGGTTGTTTGGTTTGTTCACAGCAGAACAATGAAATAGATTTGGATGAACTATTTTGGAGAGATAAGAACAATCCATACGATTTTGGTGGTGATCTGGATCCGGGAAGAGTTTAAGGGATTCTTCAATACACAGTTCCTACAATACTTGGGCAAAAATTGCAAAATAACATCTGCATAAGATCTGTTTGTCTGAAAGTGCTGATTCCGTAGGGGGTCAACTGATTTGATGCATCTTCAAAGGAAAACCACCATGACTGAATTGGCATTATGGGGACAGCGATATGCCCTGGTGGAGGTTTGCGCTCTCTTAGTGTATATTTTCTGTTTTGTGTGCACACAAAATTGATAGCACATTGTGCCTTTCTGACTCTATAATTTCTCCTTTTTGGGACTGAGACATTTCCAATAAATCCATTTCTGTGTTTTAGTAGAATAGTAAAGTGCATTTGTGGAAGTGGGTGGACTCCAGCTGTTTGGTATTTGGAACAAGTCTCAGTATGCATCATGAAGCTGTTCCTTGGCATTATGGTTATTGCACACCAGGGTACATTATCTTTCCATTACATCAAGCAGTTTGATAGAGTCATACTCTCAGGGCACTTCTAATTTCTAGCAGTACCTCTGGGATTTCTTATAAGCACTGCCTCTTTTTTGCTGATAGCAGCTGATCCTTGTTCCACGCCAAATCATTAATGTTGGTTCATTTAAGCTTCATTCATGCTTTAGAGTGCAAATATATAATGCTAATATTTTCTGCTGCTTGAAAACAGTTCACCAACCGAGCCTCCAACTAATTGGAACCACTATTATGTACCCCCAGGATGTTTTTGGTGCTGCTTCCTCGCTAATGTATGTGGGAGAGCAGATAACACATTACTGTACCATCTCATCAGCAAGAAATGGTTAAATTTATGACAAATGTTGCTTCATCACTGAACTAGTTTTCAATGTGTGAGTCAAAGTCATTTTTGGACTGACATTGCCAAGTCCTGTAACGATAGTAATTGGATTTCCAGAATAAGCGAGAATCTCCTTTCTCTCTGTGCCCTGCTCTAGTAATTGAGGTTAAATGAAATGGTCAACCATGCACTGAAACCCCAGTGGGTGTTCATCAGCGTGAGTGTGCAGTATAAAGAAACGTTTTCATCTAAAATGTTTCAAACAGCAAATTTACAGAATAGTTTTTGATTGAAAATGTAAAGAGGAATCGAGATAATTTGAGTTTGCTGTAGCCGTGTAGGTCACCCGGCTTTAACAAAAGTCACAAACATTTTGCAGGTGTGCTTGTGCGTGTGAACTCACCAAACATCCTCTGCATCTACATCACACTCAGCCCCAAACTGGCAAATGTCACATGTGGACGTCTCCTTTTGTCCTGCTTCAGCTGAGCCCTCTCCTCCTAAAGTGACAGAAAGAGACAAAGGAAAACATGTACCACCTGTTTCTTCTTATCTGTTTGTGCAAACCCCAACTGGTATATTGGCAGGATGGGAAAACCTAAAGCCTGTAACAATGCACCTCTCACAATGCAATGTGACCGCGGGACAGCAGCCTTGGGCATCTCGAGTTCATTTACATTCTGCCATACCCTGCCATAATCTCACAGAAGCTATCTCCTTCATCTATTCACTCTTCCTGTCTTTTCTCCACCCTCTTCTACCCCCTCTCAGACTCTCCTCGCCTGACTCTCATCTATCACACTCAAATCCCTGCTGATCTTTTTGGAGTCCTGCTTTTTATTTCATTGCACTGATTTTCTCACACCGTGAGTGTGACGACTCCTCGGAGGCGGTGTGGGTACTGGCATCGTGCTTATGGCGGCTTAGGGACCCCGGCCGAGGGGGAGAAGGAAGAAAAAAAAGCAATCTGGCCAATCTCAAATTGCATTCTCCTTCCACAGAGAACTCCTCCAGTCTCTGCACGCTTCTCTTTCCCCCTCGGCCCTCTTCTCCATTAGACATGCTCTATTTTTAAACTGACTGGGGCCCACGAGGGCAACTTCGCAAAAGAAGATGAAGAGGTGGAACTTGGCATCATTTCCCCATGTTATATCTTTAATCTCCCTAACACACACACATGCACAGACACCCACACTGTTGCCACTATGCATTGCTCCCTTGCGTCGCCTCTTTCATTTTCCCTTCTGAAACTTTTGTTATTTCTTGTGATCCCTCGTGACACGCTGGATGAGTTGGAAAAACTCTGGTGGAGAGATTTAACCTGATTTTTCCTTGACAAGCTTAAGTTGGGCTTGACTCTTATTTTAAGGTCAAACTCAGTTACCTTTACTTTGCTTTGAATTGCTAGCATGTGACGTGCCTCCTCCATAGCTCTCTCAGCTTGGATTGTGTTGTTGTGGGGTCAGATTATCCTAACACATTTTCTTTTGCTTGTGCCCAATAACACAATGTAGTCTAAGAGTGAAAAGTTCTGAGGATGTTAAGCTCCTTTCCAGCCTCCTGCTGTTGCTTGAATGACAGGTGTCCACAGGCAGCCATTGCGGTGAGGCAGCGCATGCTCTGAATGCCAACCATTTGCAGTCATGTGGCAGGAAGAATATACTGTACTCTCAACTTTATCTTCAGGTCACATGACTGGCAACACTACAAAGTGTGAAGAATCAGTTGGAGCTTGCATGGCATACAGAAAATATTCAGAACCCTTCAAGTTTCCCAAATTTTGTTAAATTTCAGATTCATCCTAAAATGGATTTGATAAAAAAAACCCTCATCAGTCTACACACAGTACTCTACAATGATAAAGTGAAAACAGGTTTTTGGACTGTTTCATAATTTTATTAAAACTTAAAGACTGAAATATCCCATTTACATACAGTAAGTATTCAGACCCTTTGTTATGACACTTGAAACTAAGCTCTGGTGCAGCTCTGTTGTGAGACAGGATTATGTCAAGACACAGATCTGGGGAAGGATACAAGAATATTTCTGCAGCATTGAAAGGGTCCAGGAGCAGGGGAGCCTCCATCATTCTCAAATGGGAAAGATTTGGAACCTTCAGTTGTTTTCAAAGATCTGGCTGCCCAGCCAAACCAAGTAATTAGGGATGAAAAGCCTTGGACAGACAAGTAACCAAGAACCCAGGGGTCACTATGAATGAGATCCAGAGTGCCTTTCAGGAGATGGGAGAACCTTACAGGACGACCATCAGCACAGCACTCCACCAATCAGGCCTCTGTGGTAGAGTGGCCAGAGGGGAAGCCATTCCTCTCTAAAAGACACATCACAGCCTGCTGGGAGTTTGCCAAAAACACTTGAAGGACTCAGACCATGAGAAGCAAAATCCTCAGGTCTGATGAAATAAAGACTGAACTATTTGGCCACAATTCCAAACAGCATATGTGGAGAAAACCAGGCACTGAGCATCACCTCATTAATACCATCCCTACACCAAGGCTCCCCATCCAAACAGGTTGACCATGAATGATTCTGCCAAGAAGAATGAAAGATAATTCCAAAAGAAAGGAGCCAAGCTTGAAATGTAGGGCATGACTACTTGTATAATTGAGATATTTCAGTCTTTTATTTTTAATAAATTTACAAAACACTCCAAAAACCTTTATCACTTTATTATTGGAAAGTTTTTTGTTTGTAGTTTGATGAGGAAAAAAAATAACTGAATCCATTTTAAAATGAGTCTGAATCATAAAATGTCAAAAAACGTGGAAGGGTTTGAACTTTTTAGGGATAAATTTAAGGTCAAATAAAAATAATGTGTTTAATTTAGTGAAAAATATTTTGGCATCTGTCTTCATGATGGTTTGGTGTGGCTATGCGTAAGCCGGAAAGACAATCAGCGATATGCGCAAAGCTGGTGGCAACCAGATGAAAACGGTGAAGTTAATTAAAGAAAAAGGGTTTGTTGCCTCTGTGATCTGTCTCATGAACCTCCTCACAAATAAACAAAACCAAATATCAGTTCACTACTAAGATCCATTGGCACTGAGACACATATTTATAGTACATACAGTACCTGACAGAGCATTTAATATGAGCATTATAACCAAATTTGCCCACTATGCTGTCTTAGTATCTATTTTCATTTAGATGGTGCTGTCCTACTCAGCCCGTGGAAATAGAGTAGTTACATAATTCCTTCTGCATCTCTGAAGGCAGCTTTCCACAATAAGAAAAATAACCTGCTAATGTCATCAAAATTATCTCAGCTTGGGCTTGACACTTAACATTTTTAACAGAAAGCCAAAGTACAAACTGGCGGTGTGTGAAAGAAGTGGGCATATACAGTAGGAGACACAGGGAGTCTAATGGGTTGTGGGAAATGTAGGATCCAGTGTTTTTGAAGCCTTCTCCTTCTTCCTTTTCTTATACGTCTCTTGTGAATTCAGCAGCATTATTGAAGTTCAGTACTAACCTGCTTTAAATCACTTATTTAACAAAGTCCAATCCCATGTTCATAAAAGTAACAAGATTAAATGTGAAAATTACATTACATGCGCTGTCAAGTTACATCTTCTTGCCAGTTTAGCGATTTTCTGGATAGATTAAGTGACCTTTAAAACCCCTGTGGTGACTTTTTATTCCCCCCCCCCAAAAGCAATTAGCAACAAATCTAGAAACCTGTTGAGCAGACTTTAACCCCTTTCCCTTGAGGAGTGTTGCTACTATTTCTCTGTGAACGTGCTCTCATGCAGCTGGACTGTGTGTTCAATGCATCGAGGAGGACAGTTGCACAAGCAGTTGACCAATCAACAGCCAGTAAAAAGTGTGAGCAAGTTGTAAATGTGCCTAAACAGCCAATCACTGCTCCCCGATGTTTGCACAGGTAAAGTAGTACATCTTTGTTTTTGTTAATTATTAATTGTTACTCAAAAATACACGTTTACTAGCGTGAGTTCTTTACAACGTTTGTATTCATAACAATTCAGTCTGTATAGCATCCTTTAAAAAAGACTTAGATTTAGATGTACACTGATGTGATGATAGCTTAAAAAACAATACCTCATTATAAAGCTGGTAGAGCTCGACTAGCAGGCTTTAACTACTTTCTGTAGGTAACACTGGTGTAAAATACAAGTCTTTCAAACTCTACACCTTCAACTTTTAAGGCAGGCTTTCTGTCAGCTTATTATTTCCGACTTTCCTCCTGAGCCACAGAAGACATTATACAACTGGCACTAATCACAGGCTGAGTACTACTCTTCATAAATGGTCAAATGATGTGAAAATAATCTGTCAAGTTTCCTTTTAAAGCTCCCTAGTACAAGTAACATTTGCAAATGTGTCTCTTAATTCATATACTTTCAAGTCGTGTTGTCAGTGTTGTTTCCAAGTGTTCAACTATGCATGACAGTTTAATTATACGGGCTTGTTTTTTGTCTTACATCACAGTTTATAATACTATCGGAGCCAGGACTGCAGCTGACTGAATTAGTCAGTTGTGACTCTTTGACCACTGACGTAATGTAATTGCCCTTATTTCCACCTGTCGTGTATGTTGTGGTGTGTGAAATTTTCACAGAGCTCTTGCAGACACTGAAACTAGCCAGCCTGTCTAGCCTCTCTAGCCTCTCTGTATGCTGTCAAATGATCAGCTCCACATAAAGGCTTGTGGGCAGGCAAGCATGTAAGCTCTCCCATGACTCTCCTCTCCTACGATCGCACACGAGAGAAGGCGAAGAGGGGAAGAGGTGGAGAGGGAGAGCCCATTCACGTTTTTGTAATGCCTACTCGTATTTCTTACATGTGTGCAAGTACATGCACGATGCAAATGCCGACATTCTCTCCTTTCCCTCTTGTTTCTGTCCTTTTCTCCCTCATGCTACAGGTACTACATCTTGTATGCACACTCTCCTACACAGTTGTCCCCAGATCCCCATACATGCTGCTGTAGGCACAATTACTAAAGGTGACGGGGGACAGGCAGTGTTTTCCACTCCTCAAATCCCTGATAGAGTCTCCTGTAGCACTAACACAACATCTCCCCTGTTTCTGTGCCTGCTAATCCCTGGAATCAGGAGACATGGCTGGGTAATGACTGAAATGATTAGCTCTCTGAGTTCCCCCACAACCATCCCCACCAGCTCCTACATCTCCTAGTATCGATCTACGCCCGGACCAGAGCGGTCGACGGGCCTCCTCTGTGATTACTGTCCTAGCTTCACCTCCCTCCTTAACAAATCCTTTGTCTCCTTTGTTCGTTTTTTTTTGCAATCAGTTCAATTTCATAGGCTATTCTTTTTCTATGTAAGAGTAGCTGTTGTGTGACTAGCACAACGGGGAAGGGGAAAGAAGAAGAAAGAGAAGACGTTAAGATCAGATTACTCGAAGGAGAAGATGGGATTGGAGTGAAATGTTGAGTTACAGGAGAGATGAGAGATAAGAAAAGGAGCAAAAAATGGTGGATCAGTCACAAAAATGCTGT